TAGATATATTTTAAATACCTCTAGACCAAAGATTGATTTTTATATAATATTAAAGATTCATTTATTTTAACGTGTATTTATGTATCCCGAACTCTTGATTACAAAATGAGTAAACCTATCATCTTAAAAATCACTTTTTTTGTAATACCTTCACTACATCACCTTCACTATGTTACGTCACTGTCACATTCACTATGTCAATCACTATACCATCTTCTCTGTCAGAATCACTATTTACCTTCACTACGCTACTTCCAGTCATGTTCACTGTCACCTCTATGCTACTTCACTATTCATGTTCACTGTCACTCACTAAAATTACCTGCACAAATGTTCACCCTCACTAATGTCGCCTTCATTGTCATCTTCACTAACATTTCCTTTATAATTTGACCGTCACTACATTACCTGCATAATGTTATTTTACAATACTTCGCTACACCTACGTTCCTGGACGACAGTTAATTTGAAGTGAACACTCTTTTTCTCGCTAGTTGTGTTCCACAACATCTGGAGTTTACCTGGAGAGAGTTCCGGGGGTCAACGCCCCAGCAGCCCGGTCTGTGACCAGGCCTCATGGTGGATCAGTGCCTGATCAACCAGGCTGTTACTGCTGGCTGCAAGCAATCCAACGTACGAGCCACAGCCCGGCTGACCAGGAACCGACTTTAGGTGCTTGTCCAGTGCCTGCTTGAAGACAGCCAGGGGTCTATTGGTAATCCCCCTTATGTATGCTTGGAGGCAGTTGAACAGTCTTGGTCCCCTGACACTTATTGTGTTGTCTCTTAACGTGCTAGTGACACCCCTGCTGTTCATTGGGGGGATGTTGCATCGTCTGCCGAGTCTTTTTCTTTCGTAGTGAGTGATTTTCATGTGCAAGTTCGGTACTAGTCCCTCTAGGATTTTCCAGGTGTGTATAATCATGTATCTCTCCCGCCTGTGTTCCAGGGAGTACAGGTTCAGGAACCTCAAGCGCTCCCAGTAATTGAGGTGTTTTATCTCCGTTATGCGCGCCGTGAAGGTTCTCTGTACATTTTCTAGGCCAGCAATTTCACCTGCCTTGAAAGGTGCTGTTAGTGTGCAGCAATATTCCAGCCTAGATAGAACAAGCGACCTGATGAGTGTCATCATGGGCTTGGCATCCCTAGTTTTGAAGGTTTTCATTGTCCATCCTGTCATTTTTCTAGCAGATGCGATTGATACAATGTTATGGTCCTTGAAGGTGAGATCCTCCGACATGATCACTTCCAGGTCTTTGACGTTAGTTTTTCGCTCCATTTTGTGGCTGGAATTTGTTTTATACTCTGATGAAGTTTTAATTTCCTCATGTTTACCATATCTGAGTAATTGAAATTTCTCATCGTTGAACTTCATATTGTTTTCTGCAGCCCATTGAAAGATTTGGTTGATGTCCGCCTGGAACCTTGCAGTGTTTGCAATGGAAGACACTGTCATGCAGATTCGGGTGTCATCTGCAAAGGAAGACACGGTGCTGTGGCTGACATCCTTGTCTATGCCAGATATGAGGATGAGAAACAAGATGAGAGCGAGTACTGTGCCTTGTGGAACAGAACTTTTCACTGTAGCCCCCTCAGACTTTACTCTGTTGACTACTACTCTTTGTGTTGTTTGTGAGGAAATTATAGATCCATCTACGAACTTTTCCTGTTATTCCTTTAGCACGCATTTTGTGCGCTATTACGCCATGGTCACACTTGTCGAAGGCTTTTGCAAAGTCTGTGTATATTAAATCTGCATTCTTTTTATTTTCTAGTGCATCTAGGACCTTGTCGTAGTGATCCATTGATCTGTCACCATGTCTGGAGAATCACGGCGCAAGAGGCCTCGAACTGAAACTCCCATGGAGGACTGTGACTATCTGTGGCCTAGAGCAAAAATTGCTCGATCTGAGCTTTTCTTGGACTACGACGATCTGGTGTCTCCAGAAATAATTACTGGACCCGAGCCTCTCTTGGACTATGACGATCTGGTGTCTCCAGAAATAATTATTGGACCCGAGCCTCGCTTGGACTACGACGATCTTTTGTCTCCAGGCAAAACTGCTAAGAGGCGATATCAAAAACATAAGAAGCGACTCCAGCAAAAGCAGTAGTCCCCAGTCCACTGTCATGGATTATTTCTCAGGACTTTCTCTTGACACTTTCCTTGCTACATGTACTCCCTTGGTTGCTACCAACGCCTTCCTTGCAGTGTGTGCTGTTGTAGACGATTTCCACAAGGCAGAGTTCGCCTTGTGGATCACAGATCCACCATGACTATGTCACCTCATCGATCTAGGCCTAGCTAAAAAATTCACCGGAGATACTGTAAAAAACACGCTGCGTTTATCTCATATACGTCTAAGTTGGCAAGCTGTAAAATAAAATTGAACTCGAGGAGATAGCTACCTTTACGTGGTGAGTTCTGGGTATTTTAGTTAACTGTTGCTATATTAATAGTCATACAAAATAGATAAGAGCTGATTAATAGTCGTTACTACTGCAATTGCACAGACGCTGTGTGATCAGGCTTGTAGTGATGGTGGTAGTAATGACTGATGATCGAACGAACGAACGAGAGTACAGGTAAGATCCCAAATGGGATGAGCGGGGAAGACGGGACAGACGAAGAATAGTGCTGGAGAGGAGTGTTCTTAGTCGTAGAAATAGAGCCAGGGCTTAACCCAGCAGCGAGGGCGATCGTGGGACAGATATTGAGAAGAGAAATTCAGGCTCTTCTATTGGTACTCCGGTGGGGTGAGCGGGGAGGACGGGACAGGCGAAGATTAGCGCTAGAAAGGAGTGTAGAATTGAGCCTTGGCTTAACCCTAAAGCTAAGGCGAAAGTGGGTCAGAGAATGGTACCTGTCATGGAAGGTACCTGTCAGAGAATCCAAGGTTATTTGTAAATAGGGTTAGGAGCAGGATCATACAAGGAGTAGAAAAGGTTGTGTTGGTTTGTGGGTCTGCGAATGTCTTCGTCAAGGAGAGAGGTCCAGTAGCCGTGTCGTGTCTCAAGTTTGTCTATCTGTCTGTCACTGAGCGTCTTCCAGTACAGATCATCGCAGGGATGTCTAATTGGGCATGGAGAGACTCGCTTGTGGCGAAGTCTTCCCATCTGACATCAAGCACCCAGCGCAGCGCCTTGTTCTGGACACGCTGCAGTTTAAGTTCGTTTTAGCTGCAAGAGAGAGGGCTAAAGGAGAGTAAGTTATCAGAGGACGTATTAGGGATTTGTAGAGGTGTAGTTTGGTGCGTTGGGAGGCATGTTTCAGCTTGTAGAGGCCCGCAAGGGCCTTACTAGCTATTGCATGTCTTGAGTGAATGTGTCCGTGTAAGAGAAGAAGGTAGTCAAGATTAACGCCAAGGACAGTGACAGATTGTGTGATGGTGATGTAAGTGCGGGTGTCAACTGTTCTGAGCTCGACAGGTAATGGAGGATCACGTTTCCTGTAGTTAAAATATGTAATGCTGATGATGGTGGTGACAATGGTAATAATGATTGATGATGGTGGATGGTGATAGTGGTAGTGATGGTAGTAATGATTGATGGTGGTGATAGTGGTAGTAATGACTGACGGTGATGATAATAGTGGTAGCAATGAGTGATGGTGGTTGTAGTGATGGTGGTAATAATGACTAATGGTGGTGGTGAAAGTGGTTAACTACCACACTAAGATTTACTAGACTTCTCGAAAAGACAATTTTCAGTTTTGTGTGCTTATTTGAGGATGCTACTAGTATTAAATACAAATAAATATGCTCCTTTTTATTTTACAAAGTATAAAAGTTAGTTGTTAATATATGCGAATTTTGTGTGTTTATTATCGGATATTAGCACTGAATACAAATCAGTATGGACTTTTTATTTTAAAATGAATAAAATATAGTTTATTATATATATATATATATATATATATATATATATATATATATATATATATATATATATATATATATATATATATATATATATATATATATATATATATATATGTCGTGCCGAATATGTAAAACTGGTCAATTAGCAAGAACTCATTTAAAATTAAGTCCTTTTTGAAATTTTCTCTTATACGTTTAAAGATATATTTATTTCATTATTGTTAATGTAAAAATTTATAATTTTGCACCAAAAGAATCTTAGAAAACTTACCTAACCTTATTATAACAAGAACAATTTATTTTAGCCTAACCCAACTAAATATATTTTAAATACGTTGACAATAATTTAGTACTAAACAAACACAATCAAATATATTTTTTTCGTTAGGTTCAGAATGATTTTGGCGAAATTATTGCATACACAAATTTTCACTTGTCCTATATGGCAAGATGAACGTTGCTATTTAAGCCAAGATCGCAAGTTCTGCCTATTCGGCACGACATATATATATATATATATATATATATATATATATATATATATATATATATATATATATATATATATATATATATATATATATGTCGTGCCGAATATGTAAAACTGGTCAGTTAGCAAGAACTCATTTAAAATTAAGTCCTTTCTGAAATTTTCTTTTATACGTTTAAAGATATATTTTTTTCATTAATGTTAATGTAACTTTTTCTAATTTTGCACCAAAAGAATCTTAGAAAACTTACCTAACCTTATTATAACAAGAGTAATTTATTTTAGCCTAACGCAACTATATATATTTTAGATTTGTTTACAGTAATTTAATAATAAACAAACACAGTGAAATATATTTTTTTCGTTAAGTTCAGAATGATTTTGGCGAAATTATTGCATACACAAATTTTCACTTGTCCTATATGGCAAGATGAACGTTGCTATTTAAGCCAAGATCGCAAGTTCTGCCTATTCGGCACGACATATATATATATATATATATATATATATATATATATATATATATATATATATATATATATATATATATATTACTAATGCTCACTTATTGTGGTTTCTGAAACAGTTAAGGAATACGATCAAGACATTGTAGGATGTGAAATAAGAACCTTTTTATGTTTGGTATAAAAATTTATTGTTTACATAATGATTAATGATGCATAAAGGGCCACCATCTTAAACTGAAATTAACGAAAAAAAACTAGGCCAAATTAGGACAACAATCAATGGCAGGATCGTGAGAGTCCCGTTGGATTATTGTTGCGCTTACTTATCATCGTCGTAGCCATGGCTCAGGACAACATGGCCAGGCTGGTAGTAAGGTTGGGCCACCACTGGCTGCACCACTGGATGTACCACTGGCTGCACCACTGGATGTACCACTGGCTGCACCACAGGCTGCACAAAGCGATGTACCACGGGCTGCACTACTGGTCTTGCGTAAACGACGCTGGTCTGTGCATGAGTCCACCCCAGGTTATCGTCATCAGGGTCGGCGCTACGCTTCTTACGATCGAAGAGGTCGTCATCGTCATCGAATCTGTAAGGAATCACCGAATGGTGTCGGACGACAACCCTTGGCTGCACATACTGCACGACCTGGCGAGCGTAAGGTAGAGGGTGGACGACTACGCCAAGGCTAGGATCGGCAGACCTCTCCGTGCGGTCTGCCGCTGCCACCACAGCTGCCACCACTAGTATCACCTGTCAGATATACACATATAATGGAATTAAGATAGAAACAAAATTGTGAATGGTGTCATAAAGACAGGTAGTGAAAGTCGAATGTTTTTGTAATTCTTTTTCTATGTGAATAAGTTCCTTCGTGTAATAATTGCATTATAATAGTTTAAAACACGCGCGAGCGAGTTTAATTAGCAACATATGATGAATTAAGGAGTCACTTGCTCTATGTATCAACTGTAAAAACTCAATGATTAAGCTGGAAATTGAAGAATATGTAAACTGCATATTCCTAGAGCGCCTTTTACATGCTACCATGCAGACTACTGAACAAACTGGGGACTCCTGCTAGTGTTATATGTTAAGAAATACTAGAACAAAAGATAAAGAATCACCGTGTATGATGAAATATGAATGAATGTAACTAGTGGAATCTCATAATCAAGACTTGTACTGTTTCTAGATTGTATGAATGTGAACGAGTTTGCGAGTAATACCTGGCTGGGTTATAATGATAGAAGAGGACAACAGGAAGCGGCTTAAAAATATTTAGGCAATAGGACTGATCAAAACCCTGTACTAGAGTACAGTCCCAGCTAGTGCAAAATAATAAAAACGAGCACACGGCAAAGGAGATGGAGAGAGCGCACCACCTAGGAGAGCAGCAACTCAATAAAATAAAAAGAAATAACAAAACTTTATTTAGATTAATTCTGAAGTGTTAGTACTCCAGGGTGACCTAAGAAAGTCAAACAGTATGGCATAGTTCCATTAGGGTCCTGAGGTCTTTCCTTCAGATGCCACCCACAATACTTGATTAACTCCAGGTAGTATTTATTTATTGGTAGTTAACAGGCAGCAAGTATTAAGAGACATTTCTAACCCCGCCTTCCTCAGGATCAAACCTGAGCTCTTACAGTTGTGAGGTGAAAGCTAAACCCCTAAGCTTGACTCACGAAATCGTAATGACACGATTGCAAACAAACCATACCCCGGCTGGGATTGAACCCGCGGTCAGAGAGTCTCAAAACTCCAGCCCGTCGCGTTAGCCACTAGACCAGCTAGCCCTAAGCTTTATACCACTCCTCTTTTTTTTTTTTTTTAAGAACACTTGGAACATATTCTAAAAGGGCAAATATAACGTTAACCTTCAGATGTAAAAACACCCACTTTAATGACTCAACACTACATACAGTGACAAGTGCTTGACAATGCAAAGCCAATAGCAAGGCCTAAAATGTCGATAAAGGGTAAGGAATTAAATCTACTGAAGCCTTTATTGGTACGTTTCATCCCCCGTGGTGAAACATTGTATTAATAAAGGTTTCCTTGCCTTTAGCATCCTCTTACCATGTATTCAAGTTGATGCCGAGACAGATCACTGGATCCTGGAGTAACAGAACAATACCAAATATTCTCGTGCATGGAAAAGATAGACGATTACAGACTCTACCAAAGAAAACTCCAGAACAAGGTACAATAATATAATAGTACATACTTAACCTCCCATTCCCCAGGCGTTATAAGACCACATTAACATTTCCCCTTGCATAGACACAGGAAGAACAAGGAAGATAGGAGTTGGGAGCAACTCACCAGAGTCTTCATGATGGTGTCGAGCGGACCAGTGTTGTGAAGCCAACTTTGCCCGCCTCATTTATATACCCACACAGCCTCTCCCAATGCCTCAACAAGCACGCGAGACCAATCTCAAAAATGTAACAAAAAAATCTATATTTGCTTACTTCTGTGCCCGTCTCTCGTGCCCACAGTCTTCTTAACACAACCCGTACCGTATTCAGTAAATTTATTATTTTCCAAAGGATTGTATCATTAATTTACCGGTAGGAAAGAGGCAAGTAAAAATTTTTAAAACAGAAAAGAGACAACAAGAGGGGCTGTAACAAGTTCCCCCGTTGCTTGCCGGATGATCTGCAAGGTTTGCCAGCCACCACAACGAGAACCGCTGGCAACAGCAGCCAGTAAAGTCGATAATTACACTGTTGGAGGTCGTAACTCCGCCCTAGCGACCCATGGACCGTTGGGAGCGAGAGCCAGGTTATCATGGGTCCTGAAGTTCTTGCAACACCTGCACGAACACCCGCGTCCTTGTCTCCCTCAGGAAGAACAACTGCAACTCTCTAATTATCCCCAAAGTTCATTAGGTTTGTTGGTTAATTAGGTTTAAAGTCGATCTACTACACTAGGAGGTCATTAAGGCTGCACGCAACTGTTTCACCAAAAAACAAGAATACTTTAAACTCTAAAATTGGGATTAAAGTCTTAGCATATATACAGTGAGAGACATACACCTCGGTGTGTATATATTGTGTCTTAATTAATTATTTTTAATTCAGTTCATCTTGTCATCTAATTAATCGAGTTAATTATCTTAATTTTAATTATCTGTAATATTTTTTTCAATCTCAATTTCCTTTTTAATGATCGTTAAAGTTACTTAATCTTCTAAATTTTCTTTAAATAAACTAATAATATTAATTATCTTTAAGTCAATTATTTGTTTTCTAATCAAAGAAGAAAAAGGCACAATACCGTGACTGGAACAACACACAAATAATCCACACATAGGAGAGAGAAACTTACCACGACTTTTCTCTCTGACTTGTACCATTGACTAGTCACACTAACACACCTACTATTACCACTACTACTACCACTACTACTTCCACTACCAGCATTACCTCTACCACTGCCTCTCCACCTCTTTCTTCGTCTGTCCCGTCCCAGTCCTCGCGTCTATATACTAACTCCCTTAGCTTCGTGTGTTAGTGTGACTAGTCAATAGTCAATAAGAACATAAGAACATAAGAAAGAAGGAACACTGCAACAGGCCTACTGACCCATGCGGAGCAGGTCCATGTCCCCCCCCGGATTAGCCCAATGACCCACTCAGTCTGGTCACCTCCACTCAAGGAAGGAGCACGGCACCAGACCCAGCAGCACAAGCTAGTCAGGTCCAACTCACACCTATTTTTAAAGCTACACGACGTTTTAGCCTGAATAACTGTACTCGGGAGTTTGTTCCACTCATCCACAACTCTATTACCAAACCAGTGCTTTCCTATATCCTTTCTGGATCTGAATTTTTCCAACTTGAAGCCATTGCTGCGAGTCCTGTCTTGGCTGGAAATTTTCAGCACGCTATTTACATCCCCTTTATTTATTCCTGTTTTCCATTTATACACCTCGATCATATCCCCCCTAATTCTACGCCTTTCGAGAGAGTGCAGATTCAAAAATAGTGTGTCAGTGGTCAATAGTGTCTTCGTGTGTTGGTGTGACTAGTCAATAATAATAATAATTATTATTATTATTATCATCATCATCATTATCATCATCATATGCTTCTAATTTGTCCTTGTGTTATTACTGAGTTATCGTATGTTATTATCAGTGTGTTATCGCCCGTGCGTAACGAACATGGGTTATCGTGAACTACGCTCACCTCCTCTTCCTCAGATCTGACCTTGGGAGGGTGGGGGAGGTCACCAAGGTGGCACCTTTGACTTGAGATACCCATACTCTACGCTGGTCTTGCCTTGACCTACGCTCACGCCCCGACGTCACAACCCACCCTCACGCTCACGCCCTGACGTCACAACCCACCCTCACGCTCACGCCCTGACGTCACAACCCACCCTAACGCCAGTGAAGGAGAGGCGTGACATCCGCATATTTACGGAGGGGCGGGTACGAGGACATTACAGGAGGGGTGGAAAAAAAGTGGTAATGATGAAGGAGGGGGTAAGGGAGGGGGTGATGGATGGGTTGATGAAGAAGGGGGTGAGGGAGGGGGAGGAGTAATGCGTGAGGGCAGCTCGTCCTGGTGAAAAGTAGAAATTGGCATAAGTGACAACTAGAATAAATAAATAGCGCATTATTTTTTTTTTTGCATATGGTTATTTGCAAAACAAATGTATGGTGGTTAGGTAAGAAGTTAGGTTAGGTTAAGCCAGGTATATATGATGGTCAGGTTAGGCTATGTGGTGTTGGGTTATGTTAAATTAACACATACACACACACACACATAGGAAGTATTCAGTCATAGAGTTGTCAGGAAGTGGAATAGCCTAGCAAGTGATGTAGTGGAGGCAGGAACCATACATAGCTTTAAGACGAGGTATGACAAAGCTCAGGGAGCAGAGAGAGAGAGAGAGGACCTAGTAGCGATCAGTGAAGAGGCGGGGCCAGGAGTTGAGTGTCGACCCCTGCAACCACAATTACGTGAGTACACACATACATATATACATATACATACATATATATATATATATATATATATATATAATATATATATATATATATATATATATATATATATATATATATATATATATATATATATATAATATATATATATATATATATATATATATATATATATATATATATATATGCAAAATATCGCGAACAAGCGATGCAAGATGCCAAATAACCACGGGGGGAGTTGAAAGATAGCTCTTGGCCTTTCGTGTTGCAGTCAACACATCATCAGGAGCTTACAATGTTGCAGGAAAGAAGATAAAATCCGAGAAAACGCGCTCAGAGTGAGCGGTTTTGCCGAAAGAGAATTATTTTATGGCTGGCGTACAAAACCGTCAGACAGATGAACAACGCGCAGCACCTGGGTATCTTTACTAATTACTGAGAATCACTGATGGAAGACCAGATGGGATAATTTGGGTGATCAGGGGATTAGGTAATTTGAAGGACTGAAATCCTCATATCAAGACTGGGGGACTGACTGCCTCTAGTTGACTCATACGGATCTAGCCCTTGCTACGAATCTAATAATAATAATGATAATAATAATAATAATAATAATAATAATAATAATAATAATAATAATAATAATAATAATAATAATAATAATAATAGCAATAATACTAATACAAGAGCCGAATAATGAGAATATTGATGATCATAGTGAACTTCATGACGTTGGTGAATATTTGAGAAAAAGGAGTCTTTCTTGGCATTAGTAACCCAGAGAGTTAATAACTTAAGAAAGTCAAGCAGTGTGCGTGGCTTATCATCGGTGTTGTTTTCAGGTCCCCTCTTAAGACACGGCCCACAACGGTTGACTGACTTCCAGGTGTCTCTTTACTGTCAGGTGAAGAGGGGCAATAGTTGTTTGGAGGCTTGCTCACATGTCTCTCCCCATCCGGGATTCGACCCGGGTTCTTTCGATTATGAGCCAAGCACTCCACCAGTGAGCTACCAGCTACCTCCTTCCCTTCCCAACACTTCCCGGAACTTTCTCACGGGGTTGGGTAAGGTCCTTGGACCTATGCATATCAGGTAGATCCCACGCAACCTGAGGACCTGTTTCTCGCCTGATCGTTTTTGTCACAGCGCGTTTAAAATAATTATGATGATGTTAAGTTTGAGGTCTGTTAAGGTAACCATTAACAAGCGCCCGTCACATAGACTAGGCGAGTATAAACTTGCTTTCAAGCGATGAAGATAGTCATGTGACTTCTTTTTGGTGAAGATCAATCCGTCTTGTTGCCTGGCTGACATGGGATCAACCCATCTTTGTGCATGACTGGATTAGAATCAAACCGTTTCTCTGCATGACTTGGGAGAATCCTGCAGTATCCTTCATGACTCGTTTCTTACATATATATATATATATATATATATATATATATATATATATATATATATATATATATATATATATATTATATATATATATATATATATATATATATATATATATATATATATATATATATATATATATATCGTGCCGAATATGTAAAACTGGTCAATTAGCAAGAACTCCTTTAAAATTAAGTCATTTCTAAAATTTTCTCTTATACGTTTAAAGATATATTTTTTTCATTGATGTTGATGTAGAAATTTATAATTTTGCACCAAAAGGAACTTAGAAAACTTACCTAACCTTATTATAACAAGCGCAATTTATTTTAGCCTAACCCAACTAAATATATTTTAGATTTGTTTACAATAATTTAATAATAAACAAACACAGTGAAATATATTTTGTTCATTAGGTTCAGAATGATTTTGGCGAAATTACTGCATACACAAATTTTCACTTGTCCTATATGGCAAGATGAACGTTGCTATTTAAGCCAAGATCGCAAGTTCTGCCTATTCGGCACGACATATATATATATATATATATATATATATATATATATATATATATATATATATATATATATATATATATATATATATATATATATATATATATATATATATGCAGGACAAGCCACGGGATGGGGGGGTGGAAATCTTTAGCTCAAGTACTTTCACACTCTTCAGTGCGTCGTCAGGAGCTAGCCCCTTACTCAGCAACCTATATATGGAATTCTATGAGACTAGACTTCTTAAAGACATTCTCCCAGATAAAGCTAGTTGGTTCAGATATGTAGATGACGTTCTCTGCCTGTGGCCTAATGATCACAACATTGATGAGTTTCTTCCCAGACTCAGTGGCTTAGTACCTTCCATTAAGTTCACCACAGAACATGAAATAAATAACACTTTGCCGTTCCTAGATGTTTTAATCCATCGTGTCGATAGGAAATTCAAATTCACAGTTTACAGGAAGTCAACCAATGTGTCGTCATACATTCACTACTATTCCAATCACGAAACCAGGGTAAAAAGG